ATAGTTAGTTGCTACTGAAGTTTAATTTGCATGTGCAGCAGGGTCTGCCCTGACCCTGGGAGCCATCTCAGCTGACAGGCCTCAAAGCTGCAAGGGTACACCATGCCCAGCATGAAACCCCTAAGGGATTGCAGCAGCAGCAATCTCCAAGGCTCAAGGGCCCATGAAACCCCTGAGCCTTGGGGATTGCAGCTGCCATGACCCCCAAGGCTTGGGGTGCATGAAACGCCCAGGCCCATACATGCAGCCGGGACCAAGAGTCCCACATGTGACAGAGCTCTCAGTCCCAGCTATGCACATGGCACAGCTGGGACTGACAGCAATGTCAAGTGCAGGGACTCTCGGTCCCAGCTGTGCACCCCCAAGGCTGGGGGCCTGCATCTTGCTGATGGAGGGGAACCCAGGATTGGGCTCCCTCTACACTGGCAATAAGGCATGATTCAATCTAATGCATGATCCCATAATTGCGCTTTCTGCCATGCATGTGTTGCAACTTGCTTATAGCAGGAGGCATGATTGTGTGGATCACCCACTAGATCCAGCCTTGCCTTTCTCTGCACATGTAGAGGGAGCCTTACTAAGATCAGTCTGTAGCAACAAGCTTGTCTAAAAACAAGCATGAAAAAACCGCCACCAAAAGTAAGCACTCCACTGCAAATAATGCTCCCTCAGTAAGAGAAGATGATGGAAAAAGCATGTAACGATGTGAGTTATAGTGTTATAAGCAGTACTGGAATGTGTTCAGATGCTGCTATGATAAATCTGATATGGGAACCTACATAAATTAGAATCAGGACTTTGTGCAAAACTAATCTCCAAGCAGTTCACAGGAATTCAAAACCAACAATTTACTGTTAAGCAAAAGGGGCCCATGGTTAGCAATATCTCCACAATTATCTCTATTTTTGAATATTAGAGCTCCACATAATCAGGCCATCCTAAGACACAAAGGATGGCAAGCAAACAAGAATCCTTATTAACTAAGTCAGTGAAGAGCTTTTGACTACAGTTTTGAATTTTAGGGTAAGACTGATAAAATGCCATCAAAGAAAACATTTGTATACATTTTTAAATGAAAGTTCAGATATTGTTTTTAGTTTTGAAAACTGTTTACAGAAGATCCCAGTTTGGTCTGGCATTCCCCAGGGCAACAGGTTTTTTCCATTTCATAATTCTTTTACAACACTGTCCAATGTTTATCTCCCACATAAAGCCTTGTTTTCCATAAAAAAGAGATTCCAGAAGTATGAAATACTAGTTTCCAGAAATCCTATCTTTGGCACAGACAGAAGAAAATCTGACTTTCTATCCAGCAGAGGGCAGTGATACACAGATTGGTGAAACACATTACAACTTTCAAAACAAATATTCTGTTTTAATTAAAACACTTCCAGCCATCATATGCAAAATTGCTTTTGCAGAGACAGTTCATGTGACATGATATTAATAAAAACAAGATCATTCAATTTTTAAAAGTAACTAGGACAGATATTTTATCTTCTGTCCATAAAACTTTTTTAGGTCCTCTCTGTAACAGTATACTTTCCTTGAAATGACAAGTCTACATATACCCCCACTATATATACCTAAACTACTGTTGCAGCTTTATTAGAAGAGACATGGTACGCAAACCAACCACTCTTACCTAGAAGAAAATTCAAAGAGTACCCCAATATTCCTTCCCTCAGGTACAGAACTTTCACTCTTTTGTTGTAGTATCTGCCAAAATAAATGTGCATATTCAGGAAGAAAGGACAAAACAAGTTTACCACTACTGAAGAAACGTGCTTATGTTTAAATAGTGCACAGTGGAAATGTTGCCCAAAAACAGCTCTTTCTTATGCAAAGGGGGCCCTAATGTGGAAGGGGGTCAAGGCAAACTAAAAATTACTCACATATCAGTACTGCAAGTGAACACAGAATGGGAGTAGTTTTAATGGCTGTGCACTAAGTAGTGAGCAACCAATGCACCAACCCTGGACACCCACTTAGAGAGTAACCCCACAATCACCAACACTGAAAGCAGCTCCCACAGCCCCTAGCTATTATGCCTCTCTGGTTGTATGAATTTTGCTGCTTATTTAGGGCCAATTCTGTGGTCCTAACATGGACATAATGCCATTGGCACAATGACAGTTTTCTCTTAAGGCTGTGTGCACATGTTCAAATGGTCTGGGAGAATTCTCCTGGGTTTCTTTTCCTGGTAGAAAAACTCACTGGAGATGCCTGAACAGTCATTTGAATGCTAAGCCCCTGAAAAGCAGAGGGCTTGCAGTGCACAGCCAGGGAGCCCATATGCACATATTTCAGCATGCTCTTCAGGCTCCTTCAGTCTGGTCACAGACAGAATAGTAGCACTGCACAGGACGACTGGCTGTCCCAGACTGCTCAGAGTCAGCCTTTGTCTCCCTATAGCCCAATGTGGGGATTACGAAGGGGGTATGTTCTGCTTCCTGCCCAGCTGGAGCAATAGAGCTCAGCAAGTGACACAGTCTCATGGGATTGATTTAACCCTGGTTGATCCCAGGTTATTTTTCTCCCCTAGCAGCTATTTTTACTCTGGGAGAAAAATCCTGAACATTGGTACATTTGTGGTTTCTGCTGGGATAAGAGTGCATGGATAAGAGTGCAGCAATCACCCATTATAAACAATAGTCACTAAACTGTTCTGGAAAAAGGTTGGAGACATGGTGAGGAAAATAATAAAATGCCCACTAACAACTAACCCCTTGGTGTTCTTTCTGAACTTCCCTGAGAACTCTACAACATATACGAATCATAAGGAACTGATCACTCATCTTTGAGGGGCTGCAAGAATTACAGTTAAAGAAGCCTGGGAGAGAAGTGACACCCCTAGCATCACTGACTGGTTTAAAAATTTTTGGGAAGTTTTAGTAATGGAAAAAAATGCCCTATCACATCAGTATTCTTCAATGGAGAAGGAAAAAAAGAAGTTTAGAAATTTGGTGGAAATTCTTGGAATTAGCTGAAAAAGAACTTCTGTTAAAAAGAAACATCTTTCAATATTGAAAGAAAGTGCACATTCTATCAGTTAACTGTTAAGAACAATTTTGGAGTACACTCAAAATCTAAAATCAGTGATGAATAGAAGATAGCGAACTTTGCTTTATTCAAAATTCTGAAGAAAAAAGAGGGGGTGAATTATTGAGCAGATTACATCTAGAAATGAAGAAACACAAAAGCTCAACATTGAGGCTAGGGACAGCCATTACACATAAACCAGTTTAAGTGATCAGAAACTGGTTTAAACCTATAACAGAACACATGTTCAGTGCACATAAACCAGTCTGAAAATGACTGAAACCGGTTTGAGATAAATCTGGTTGAATGTAGTATCAGACTTAACTGATTTGGGTCAAACTGATTTATGCAATGTCTGTCCCAGATCCCCCTGCTGGTTTAAGATAAACCAGACTCCCTCAGCATCCCAGCATGCTCTCTGGGCTGGGCAGGGCTCCATGCTCCACAGAAGAGCTGGCCCCTCTCCTCTGCTCCCTGGCTGGAGCTCCAGCAGAATCTGCAGGTATTTGCCTGGCTTCCCCCTGCTCCCCTCCACCACTCCCTGCTAAGCTGGGATCTCCACCGCTCCTCTGCCTTACACAGACACCCCTCAGCATTAGCTAGTAGACCACATGCTGGCTATGGTGCGTGCTGTGGCAGATGGGACAAAGGCAGAATCAACAGGTAGCTGGTAATGTCCCTCTGTTGTTTTCTAATGGGGTGATAAACACTGAGTTAGGGGTGATAAACATGGTGTTATCAATTCCCTGCTGGGCTGGTCAGGATGGTGGGGAACCCCTACTTAATCAGAGCGTCCTGCCTGGGCCTGGCCATGCCCCCACTCAGCTCAGCCCTGTGAAAGGGAAGGGAGGGATGCTCCAGCACCCCCCAGCTTTTAGCCTGAGCTACTTCAGGCATATGCCTGCATTTCCACAGTCCAGAGGGGATGTCTGGATGATTACAAACTGGTTTAGCCTAGCCAGGTTAGACTAAGAGGGAAAGATTGAGTCAATTCAAGCTCAGGCTTTTTGAATATTTGTCCGTAGCCTGAAACATAAACAAACTGTCAGAAACTGAAAAGAAGGGAAGAAAAGAACACAAAATTATTTTGTGGACATTGACCGTTGCTGTCTGTACATATATTTTGGGGGACTGGATATATATTTAAATGTTACATTTGTTATAAGTTGCATTTGTTAATAAGTAAATTTAAATAAATAAGTAATGATCACTGCTAGCTGCTTCTGGGGAAAAATAAAGCCCACTAATGTACCTTATCCTTCCTCCATCCAATACATTCAAGTGAGGCAAGTTTCAATGGGAAGCAGTGCTGTGCCTTATCCATAGGAGGGAAGTGATAAGTTTCTCTGTCCCTACTGCCGAGGATGTGAACAAGTAATCCCTAAGTAGAGTAGGAGAGGGGTGGGTAGAAGAGGGAGATGACCGAAATATTTTGGAAGTTGAAGTGCTTTATGAGCTTCCCACCAAAATAACCTCACTCAGCCCCTGAAACCCTAATGCCAGTCCTAAACAGCTCACGAAGCAGGCAGAAACCAGTAAACAACACAACGTTATTCCACCCCTACTAATAGTTTTTAAGACAGATATAATTTTTAGCAGTGACGCAGTTGTATACTCATTTGGCATGTCCCCTGCTAGCTAGCTTCCCTAAATTTAATTTAAATGTTAGTGAAGGCCAATAGGTTATAACCACCAAGATATAAGATAAAAAGATAGTGGGTAAAACTCCTTATGGAGTCACGCCTGTGAAGTGCAGAATATGGCCCACACTCTTATAGCAGAGAAAGAAAAGCAAGCTGCACTTTGCATTACCTGGGGGCTGCCCGTCCCTCATGTTATTCTCATCCACCAACTGAGAATTCCTGTAGCAAACTGACGTGTTACAGCCATAGAGCTCCCGGGGTCAGATTCCTTGCACTTCACTGCTATCCAGCATAGTGTTCTCAAACATAAGCCAATTCACATTAATAGAACACTTTCATGTGATCCAGGGGGAAGAAGATCCATCCACCAACAAGTAAAGCAGTGCAGAAGGTTATAACCTCAGGGACAGAGTGGAGTACTCTTTTGAATTTCACTCTAGAGAAAAAATTGGGTAAGTCATCTTTTCACTAATCCTTTTAATAGAGCACAGCTTGTTAATGTGGATTTGAGCATTACAAAAGGGCAAAGCTTTTCTGCTTACCAGAAAAATTAAAGGCTCATTTCAGGCTTTATGAATTCATAAACTTTTGCAACGTTTGTTTTATAATCTGCATAACTTAAAAAGTAAAGCTTCAG